CAGGGCCCAGGTACAACTGCCAGCTCAGCCTTACTGTAATTCATTAAGATATCCACACAAGAATGCGTCTATGTTAGTACTGTCTTTCTGGAGCAAGTCTCCCCCTTTATTATCCTTTTCTTCAGGAGAAGGATAGAAGTCTGGAGCACTCAAGCTGGATTTCTTGGATCCAGCTAAACCACAAGGCGTACACCAGAATGTAATGGTCTTTGTGAGCTCTGAGGGACCAGTCTAGAGTTAGGTTGGAGTAACCACCCTGGAATGCCCGGAGCTGGAATATCTCAGCACCAGCTGTTTGCTCTACAGATCCACTTGATGGGGTTGCATTTTTTTGCTGTACTGAAGCAGCACCGTTGCACTCGTATGTGTCTACGGCACTGGCTGACAGATTTTCTCCCTGCCTTATCCTAGGCCCTATTTTGGTATTTCTGTGCCCCTTTTCCTTGCTGTACCATTTTCCTTGTGTGTGTTTGTGAAAACACACACACACACACACTTTGTGGCATTTACCTTCAGCTGTGCTATAACTTACACACTGTTCATACTGCATTGATTCTTTGCTGTCCTGACTCTGTCATTTGATCTTGATTTTATTCCTTTCCCTGATCCAGTGTTAACCTCCAAGTTGTGACCTTAAAACCACCTTTCAACCTTTCTCCTGAGCACTGATCAATACCTGCTACTTTGCCTTTATTCAGATGATGGATAACTTTGGAAAACTCTAATCTTCTTTGGCATCCTGTCCATGATCAGCCAAGGCCTGACCTTGATGCAGGACTTTTTTACAGAGTGTGCAGGAGCATTGCCTGTGTTCAGAGGGCTAAAAACTGTCCTTTGGGATTCTCTTGCTCCTTGTTTAACTTTCCTGAAAAAGGAAGAGCAGAGCAAAACAAAACAAACTCCAGACATCTCAAGTTCTGTTGCCTTGTAGGGTTCCGCTATGCCTCAGCCAGCTGGGTGTCATTTGATCCCCTTCTACATTTCTTTAATCTGTACTTGACCTAGTTTTAAGGGTGATCCAGCCTTTTCCAACAGATTAGTTTCATGCGTCTGAGTGTTTAAGTACTCATGGGAGATACTGAGGGTGAAAATAAGGTATTACTGCCCAAAGAATGTAGATCTTGAAACTGCTTTTTGGTGCTCCAAAGCGATTCAGGTAAAGTCAGAGATGAGAGAATTTTCAGGAGAATTTTTAATAATCCCACAGAAATCTTCTGCTCTGAAAGGGCGAGGCAATAGAAGTACCCCTTTCCCTGCCACGTTCCTAGGTGGAAATTCGTGTCATTCATTCTAAAATGGAGAGCAGAATTTATCATGTGATTTAAATTAGGGCCAGTAGACAGCACTATTCTGAACTAAAGGAAGCAGAAGGAAGGAACAATTTTTATTTTGTGAGAGAGCAGGCACTCTCCAGATGATGCTAAATCTGCAGGCAATAGCGTCCAACTTCCAGCCGAGCAGCAGCTGGAATTGCTTAGGCACTGGCTTGGCAACCAGGAGGAGGTTGCTAGCTATGATGATAGCAAGCTGAAAAAAAAAAGAAGACTAATTTTAATGAGCACCAACCTTCCTCAGCTCCTCCAAGATTAACTACTCTCTAAAATGTCATTTTGAATTATCCTTTAAAATATATTTTTTTAATCTCACGTTGAACCCAAATTAATTTTTAGGGCTATCTATTTCAATGTCTTTCCTTACGTTACATGCTGTGTATATTTGTATCCAGCTGGGCACATGCTTGACTGCATTGTGGGTTGACCTGAATAGTAGAGTCATGTAGTATTTATGACTAGATTTTAATCTCAGATGGGTAGCATTGCACCACTATCTTATGAACACAAAATATGCAGATAGTGTTGGATAAATATGATTGATTTTTACTTTACAATACACAACAGGAGAAGGGTTTTTAGAACTACTGAAGCAATCTTGTTTTAAAATGGGCATTGTCAATATAGCTTCTAAATCTTCACTTTAGCAAACAACTAAGAACAAAATCAAGTTTCTGGTGGGCCCCCTGAGCTGATTTATAGCATTGTGTCTCCTCACACTTCTATTTTGGGGCTCGCATTTTAAAAGTAAGGGGTCCTCAGTTCTCCTGTGGTGTTTAGATAGGACTTTGGCAAAGGCTGTAACTGACCTTCCTATATATGTAGATGCACATGCATTTTTACGTATATACTTTCATATGTGTTTTAGTACATTTCAAGACTGAAGGAAATGTTTTGCTGAGCAAAATGAAATACTGACATTTGAGCTTTTGCAACTGTTATTTTTTTTCAAAAAAGAAACCTAAACAATTTCATTTCTAAATTGTCAAAATAAAATAATTTGAATAAGACACATGTTTTTCCTTAACATAAAGTTCTGTGACATCAAAATGAAGTCTTGAAATGGCTTACTGAGAGAGGAAGAGCAGCCAGAAATCCATCCTGACTCTGTGAGCTCTAAAGAACGAGCAAGTTTCCAGACCCAATGAACTGCACAGCTATTGACTCTATCTGAGGGCCTTGGAGCCAGCCAGACTGCCTGAGAAGGTAAAGCTATTTGATCAAGCTTGTGTTACTTTTTTCTTGTGTTAATGTGCTTTCTCCCTCCCCCAGGATTGTATTATTTAGAATTCTTTTAGACTGTATGCTAAAATTCTAAACAGTAAAAGAGCTTTAAGCAAAAAGCTGAATTGCTTAAGTGTTGCTAAATATAATGCAGCTCAGTTACACAAAGCATTTGGGGAAACAGATTCTTAGGTTAACAAGATTTCTCTTAGATATGCTCAGTTTTATTTCTGTTTAGTGCCAAAAGGTGCCAAGTAGCAAACTGTACATTCTACTCAGCAGGGGAACATCATGGTTCTTACGTTGTTCTATGAACAGGTCTAGGTGAATGAAGATTATCAATACTGGCTTTACTGGATTTTGTGATACTGAGATTTGTATATTTGTTATCTAGGTTCTCCTTAAAGCCTTAATCCCTAGAAACAAGGGGTTGCTTGGAAATTTTAGCTTTTGCTCTTTTCCTTTTTTTTTTTTTCATTCTTTATTTGTTTTCTCTTTTTTCTTTTCTTTCCTCTTCTCTCTCCTGCTCTCAATCATTCTCTCCCTCTCTTGTTATTTTGCAGCTTCCATGGCTGCAGAGAAAAGCTTGAAAAGATTTTTTTGAATAAGCTCGAATTGCAAGACTCAAAAACTGAAAGTCAAAAAAAGCATCCCAAAAGCTTGTAATATTTATTTCTAAAAGCTTTCCAGCAAGAAAAGCAGACGTGTATCAGCAGGATTTCTCAGTTTCTCACCTTTAAGACCCGAGTTATATATCTCAGTGCCAGAATGTGTAACCCTCCTCAGAAGGCAGCAAGAGAGCCCTCATGAGCACAGGAAGAAAGAGAGAAGATAAAATTCAGGAGAGCATTGCATGTTTAGGAAAAAGAAAAGCATTTGCACGTCTTTGGCTCTTGCTGCAGACTATTCTGCTGCCAGATCTCATCTTTGCCCTCAGTACTGAAATGAACATCATCAATATGTTGTTGACAGCGGTGTCATAAAGGCAGGTTCTTGCTTGTGGACCATCTTGGAGGACTGTTTGAACTTGGAGGTTAAGGCTGTAGTTTAAAGGTCATCATTTCAGGTTGGCGTGGGAAGGATTTCACCACAGAGGACAGGATGTGTAGGCAATGGAGTCAAAATAATCACATTTGACATCTGTCAAGAAAACAGTGTGTGTGTGTGTGTATATATACACACATGTGTATACAAATATACACATACATATGTTGCCACATTGCTCATGAAAGAGAGTTTTGGGGGAAATGGAGACTGTAACTTCTTAGAACAGTATAAATACTTTATTCACTGGAAAAAGACAAGCTGTTTCTAAGTGATGACTTCAAGTTGCTGAAAAAGGCAGCAGTTGTGATTGCCAGAGGGATGAAATGCCCACTAAAGATGGCAATTTCACTAGCACTGTGGGATTTCTGGGTATACGGTGAATTTACCCATGAAAACTGTTTTTTGGCAGAAACATGCACTTTGTCCTAGATTCATTTTCTAAATACCACTCAGAATATCATTGTCTTTTTCGGGCTCTGTGATTACTATCAAGACAGGAAATGGGCATTTCCACACAACTTGAAAGCTGTGATCCTTGAAAACCCATCTTTTTTCTCTGTCAAGTATGACTAGAGTAGATTACACTGGAGTATTAAAGATACTAGACCACAAAAACATTGAAGCATTACCCTAACTCAGCTACCATATTAATGGTAATGTTTGCTTTTCTAAATCTAAAATGTAGGATGAATGTCAGCTTTCTTACTTTTGTAATAAACAATCACATTATCACTAGAAGAGACTTTACTTACTCCTTGTAATCTGCATTTATCAATAGCACTAACATTGTAAAAATAGAGCAATTATATTTAAATGACAGAGCTAAATATTATGTCAGTGGTATGAAGAAAATGGCATTGTTACTCATTTTTTGAAGAATAATTTGCTTCATAAAAGCTACATTCCTGGGTTGTGAAACCCAGCAGGGCCCCCTCTGTGAACAAGCTGCTATTTTCAAATAAAATTACCTAATCTAGAACATAGCACTTCTCTATTTCGTACTGGAGTGTACACACGATTTCTCCCTGCTCTGAAAAGTTCTTAGAGTTTGATCTCACTTCTCTGCATATTAATGTAAATAATAAAACCCAAGAAAATTAACAGTTAAGCCATTCAGCTACTCACATACACCCTACTCACTTGGCTACCTCCATTCTACTACTTCCCACGCATCTCTATCCTCCACTTGAACAACCCACAATTATCTTTATAACAAACCACTATGTTTATAATGAGTTAGGAGCACCATCTATCAGTTTGCCTTAAACTTCTCATTGAAAGGTCTGTTTTCAGTTATTCATGTGAATGAGTTTAAATACTTAATAGAATTTCAACTACTTGTTGTCTTTATCAGAATGAAATTTTCCTGCCTGTGTGCCCTGGTCTGAAATTTTGAGAAAACTGCAACTAAGACGGTTCTATTTTCAACAAAAATGCTGAGGTAAGTTGGGTGAATCTGCTCAAGTGAAAACACCCTGGTTACTGTTTCTCTTAGAATCTAAATATTTCTAGCTGGGGCAGAGCTTTGAAATTTATCAAGAAAAGAAGCTTTTTTTGCTAAATTTTTTCAAATGTGCCGAAACTTAGCTAAATTGTATTTTGGCACAATTCACAAATATATCTAATGAGACTGTTCCACCTTGAAGCTGTAGGTGATGGAGCAGGATTACTTTATTCAGTAGCAATTTCTAGCTGATTGAAAAATGGCCAAATGGCCAAGTCAGAGATATAGGAACCAAGGTCGTGTGGATTCATGATTACTGTTGCTCTTGTTCACTTTTTTTTGCATCTTTGCTGGACACACAAGTTCTAGTTATCAGCCACAACTGTATGTCAGGTACACACCAGGGGAGATTCCTAGGAAGCCCATGGTGCCTCGCTTAGCGTTGCCTTTTCACAGGAAATGCCTGCCCCATGCTGAGGTTTCTGAAGGCCAAGCGAAGTTTTGAGGAGCGCTTTAAAAAGCAGGAATGTGAAAGCTTTGCAGATGCTTGCAGGCAGTTCCTTCCCCAGAGTGAGGGGCAACAGAGGAAGGAGCAGCACTGGACTTGTTTGAAAGCGCCGCGCTCAGAGCAAGGCTCCTGCCTCATAGACTAATTGGAAGCGAGAGCTGACCTTGTGGTATTGAACATGAGAGGGTCAGTGGAGAGCGGATAGGCCACAAAGGCCTTTGAAAGTCAAGAGAAGTCATTTGTGTCTAATTCCACTGAGAAGGCTCCTGAGAGCCAGACCTGGAAAGGAGCAAGGGAGAAGGATCCGTGTCAAGAGCTTGGCAGAGGGAGGGCTGCGCCTGGTGGGGGCCGAGGAGCTGGGGGAGCCCGGGAAATGGCCGGAATGGCCGGACCATCTAACTGCGATGGGCAACAGGAGGGAAGCGGGAGCGAGGCTGGCATGTTTGAGGCGCTCCTGTGAGTGAAAGCTTGACAGCAGTGGCAGCAGTTTCTGAATTACTATAATAGATTCCAAAGACATGCCAATTCAGGAGTTCACAATGCAGCTGTTGTCTCTGAGGCAATGAGAAATTATTTTACCAATTTATGCAAAGGACTATTAAAAAGGTGGCAGACGAATAAGAAATATCTACATAAAAAGGAAAGTTAATTGCTCAATAAAATGACTCACTGAGTGGTTCAAAAATCTTCTCATGCATAAATATCAAAGTTTTACTGTTTGGGTTGGGGTGGTTTTTTGGTGGGTTTTTTTTTTTTTTTTTTTTTTTTTTTTTTTTTTTTTTTTTTTTTTTTTTTTTTTTTTTTTTTTTTTTTTTTTTTTTTTTGCTCTTTCTTACCGAAATAGTAGCCTAGTGTCTCCTGAAATGGTACTATTTGCATAGTTAGATATTGCAAAAAGAAACACATCTCTACTGGTTTTAGTTTTCTGGAATTGGGAAGTTTAAGGAACTCAAAGGGATGTTTTCGTTTACTATATTTACCCGTGGATATTTGTTCAAAATACTCATTATGGCCCTAACCTTCACACTGCCTTAGGAACTATCGATGGCACAGCTAATTGCAGAAATGTCTTCACTTGCAAAAATTAGTATTTTCAAAATCCTTATCCTTGTAAATTAGCAGTCTAAAGTAGTAAGTGTTATGGACACTGGTGAGCTTAAATGCTATGCTAATTAACGTCCAAAATAGTCACTTCTCTGAAGATAATTCTGGAAATGGTGTTTGCCACCCAGATTGTGGTTGTAGCTGGCAGGGTTCTCTACACTAGAATATGTATTTAAAAATCCTGGCTCTCTTTTGTTGCTGCTATTGCCCAACTTGATTGTTCTGATAAAGTCCAATGAGATGTGGGCTTCCTTCTGATAGGAGATGTGCAAGTGTGGAGCAGAAATGATGCTGGTTTTGTTGGAGCTGTCTAATTGCTCATTTTAATAAGGAGGCTGATTCCAAAGCAAGGCTTTGAGAAGAATCCATCACAGACAGAATTTGCGGGGGTGCTTTTCATGCATGTAGGTGGCTTGAAACAAATCACAGACTTGTTCTTTTATTTCAAACGCAGCAGCTGGATTTTATAGTTAGCAGGTGTCTATAATTCCTATCTCATCAGTTCCAAAGGGGAGGAGAGCAATTTTACCAAAGGGGTAAACCAGGTTCCTGACAGAATTTTGGGAGCAATGGTGAGTGCCACAAACCTGTTGTGAAACAGCCACTTAACCAGGAAATTCTGATTGTCCTCATTCGTCACCAGTAACAAGAACGTGGGAGATTGGTGGAAGGTAAAATAATGGGTCAGAGAAAAAAGACTGTGAGAAAAAATGGAATACAAATGTTGATTCCTGTTTGAAATCATGTTAAAAGTTGGAAAGTAAAAATGCACCTTTTCAAATACCTCCTTTTCCTTAATCTAGTCTGGAAGATGGAGATGTTGCTTTATACAGGAATCCAAAGGGGGATGTTCATTTAGATGGATGGGAAGTACAAAAGCATTGTAAATACTGCTACATCTCCAGTACCTCCGAATTTAGGATTGGGAGTAATTGGGTCAGATACAGGTTCATGTGATGATATACTTATGAAGTGATACTAGAGACAATGATTTTATTTTTATAGATAATTTATTATCCTATATCAGTTGATACATATTGTGGCATAGCACCTGATACCTGCAGTGAACTTTATTCCAGCTTAATTTAAAACAGCTTTTAGATTGTCATAATATAGGAGTGATTCAGTCAGCATTGCCTTCAAGGTGTCATCCACGAACAAGGAGAGATAAATTCTCTTCTTAAATGAGGTGGTTTTATGTGCCACATGCATAATGATACTGTTAAAATCCAGGGAACAAATTATGTTCTTCAGCTGCCAGAAGTGCCTGGTCCAATGCAGCTCCCCTTGTTTTTAGTCCAGTGATCCTCCTCCATTACCCTGCAGCACATCAGGATGAGTGGCTGCTCAACCTGGCTGATTACTTTTTTCTGCTCTCTTGTCCCTCTTTATCCCACACATCTGATTTCCCAGACTCACAGCACTAACTTTCTCCTGCTCTCTTTGCTTCCCAGAATAACCTGTCTGTCTGGTTCTGCTCCATTGCCCTAGCGTCCCACACAATTATTCTCAGTCCTTTGCAATGCCCTGTGACTACCTATGCAGACTTATCTTGCTGTGCTTCCTTGACTCTTCCGTGACCAGGATTTAAAACAAAACAAAGAAAAAAAAATCTTATAAAATCCATACAAGATTCTTAATAACTTCCTAATGTGTTGTGCTTAGATTCAGAAACAGGGCATCTCTACTCTTCCTTTTTTAATGAAAAATGATTTTAATTATACAGATTTTCTATAGTAGCAAACAAACAATTCTGTTTTAACCCTTCCCTCCCTGTTCCTTAACAAATCCTGCATGTTTATTCTGTTTCAAGTTGATTCTGCACCTTAATGAAAGTGGTGCAAACTTTGTTGTTTAAAAAAAAAATTCCTTGATGGCCTAACGTGTTACTCTGCCCCTCTTCTGCTATATATTCTTCATAGCACTTTTTAGTGTCCTTGCTCCTAACAAGGAAAAGGTTGAATAACACTGCATATGCTCATAAATTTAATTGCTAGTACAAGTAAACCACGGATGCCATTTTACCCAAATTCTTTTGAAAATGTATTTGTAAAGGATTTCTGTCCTGTGAATTCTTATTCTTTGATCTTAGTGAAGGTGATCTTAATGAAGGTTCATGATGCTGAAAGATAAATTTTTATTAACATTGAGTTTTTATTTCGTTTTACAACAGAATATGTTTTGAGGACTTTAAAAAACAAAAAGTCTCCTACAAACTTCCTCAAAAAAAGACAGATTTAGAGTTGGAAAGTGGATTGGCTGGCTTTAATTTATGATGGTAAAGCAATTTGGCTTAAAAGCTCCCTTTCCCTAGTAACTTACAAATTAGACTTAGGAAATAAAATGTTCCAAAAGGTGCCTGGGCTGAAAGTTGCAAGGAGACTATGGTTTGCTGTATGAAGAGGAAGGGTTTCTCATTATTAAAATAAAGAACTAGGGCTTGGAACATCTTGAGTGCTCTTTGATGTTATTTACTTATTGTTGGCTTGAAGCCAGTGATAGAAACTCTTTAAATACAACAATGAGCAACAGGGCCCTGAGAGACATTGTAATAACAAATTACCCCTCTCTTTCTTCCTCAGTTATCTCTGTCTGTGAAATGGGAATAGGCTGTTTGTCAGGATACATTTGCAAGGCATAATTCATTAAAAGCTATAAAATGGTGTGAGAACTTTGAATGGAAGTTTCTGTTCAAGTGTCAGGTATTATTAGCTCTGAAATGAAAGCTATTTTATGTTGCTTCGTCTGGAGCTACTTGAAGTTTCTTATCTTACATGAAGAACAAATGGAACATGAGTGACATTTCTCTTGGTTTAATAGTATAGTCTCTCCACAGTCTGTGCTGTTGAAATGACATTAGGGAGCGCTACTAACACACTGAGCAAAGTCACCCAGTCGAGAAATGGTTTGATTTGGGGGTCAGAGAACCAGCAGATAAAAAGAAGATAAATAAGACTGGAGTGAAAGGCAAGAAGAGGATGTTTGAGGTGGGGGAGGAGGAGAGTGGAAAGAGGGAGGAAGGAAGGCAGAGCAGGGCAGATGCCTGAGAAAAAAATTAGGAGGAAAAACGGAAAGAAATGAAAAGCTTACTTTATTAAAAAGCAAATTGGATGTGTTTATTAAAAAAAAAAAAAAAAAAAAAAAAAAAAAAAAAAAAAAAAAAAAAACAGAAGTTGGAAAAACAAGGCTGTAATGCCATCTTGGGGTTTCTGGTGACATCTCAATCCAGCAGAGCTCTGCTCATTTGGTTTGTGAATGTCAGCAGAAACCCCTTGATGCCATTGAGGCTCACAGTTGCCTCTCATTGATTCTGTATTATTTCAACAGTGGAAAATAGCACCTTTATTTTCACAGCTAAAGTATCTCACTGTGATAGAAATGTACATGTGCTTATTGAATATCATCTCTATTTATTTTTATCTAACTTCTGTGTTATCACTATGGATTAGAAAGATATGCATTCTTCTATGGCTATCATATGAAAGACTATTTGTCTGAAATACTGTAGTCCAAGTCTTTATTAGACTAAGGAATATAGGCAATTCTCTCCAGCTGTCTTCTGCAATTTATTATTTTAAGCTCAATTCATCAGGACAAAAATTACCCCAAACAAGCCTCTTATTGATCCTTCTGATGCATTGTGTATATTTTTTTCTAGTGTTTCATAGACAAGATAATCAAGCTGGAATAAAACCTGGTGTGTGACTGACTTGATGAAATGAATGCGAATGTGTACCATTTATTCATGAGTATGTACACCTGAGCCCCACTCAATGACATGCAGAAAGTCTTCGAATCTTATTGAAATATGAAAAGTTCAAGAGAAATACAACATACCACTGTTTCTTTGGTATCTTCCAGGCTTGATCACCAAACTATTGAGTCAAATGAATTGACTCATTTGAGTTAAAATTTTGAACAAGTTATTTGTAGAGGAGTTTGTGGGATGGTGACTAAGGTGAAGTTCCTTTCTGATTTGGAAACCTGTTTTGTGACTAAGGTGAGTGCGCACACACACCTAAACCTTCCATAACAATCAACTGCCTTTCAAATCTAGGCCTTTTAGGGATGGAAATTCTGCCCCCTTCTGTGTAGATTTTATGTCTCTCTCCTTACAATTGGGAAGTCTTTCCTCAGATTTCTCAACTAAACATTCAAACTGTAAATTATTCCTTTGTTCTTTGGGATTTTCTTGTTGTTTGTTTGTTTGTTTTTTGTGGATATGGAGGAAAGTGATGACTAGCTTACCATAACATCCATTTATGTAAGTGAAGATGGCATCATATTTTCTTTTCTTTTCTTACCATTATTTTTAGCTTTTTCCCATTGGTCATGTTTTCTAAATTACTCTGTGTTTTTCTTGCTCTCCTGTGGATTTCCTCCAAGTGGTCTATGTAATTTTTGAACTGCAGTGCCAAAACCCAGCCATCAATTCTCGTGCAGAAACCTTGCAAGTATTGAGTAGATGAAAAATGACCTCTGGTGTCCTGCTCGGATCCTGCTGCTAGGACATCCCAGAATAACATTTTGTATTTTTCCCATTTCCATCTCACCAACGACCCATTCTCTACTGTACACTGGCGTTCTGGCTGGAGTGCTGCTGTCTGTTCAGGGTTTTTTATTTTATTTTTTTTTCCCCCATCTATTTGATACTTACTACCTAGAGCACTTAATCTAGATAGTACAACCCCAAAACTTCTTTCAGTAGGTGAGACTTTTGGAAATAATAAGCACTATGCATTCTGTGAGAATATGTGCTTAATTCTGCAAATGCCTTGAAATCCTTTCAGCACAGAAAAGAGATATGATATTAATTCTAAACATATTTGTATATATTACATTATACCTGGGGCAAAAAAAAAAAAAAGCTTCATTTCAAAGTTTAAAAATCACTCTTCATTTTCTTTTATTTTTTTTTCTTAGTAGTACTCTCTCTAGTTTTTAACAACCAAAACTTTATTGGAAACATCAAGAGTTATGTGAAGATGCACTTGACCTGGAGTAAAGTATCAGGAGTTTTTAAACATTTAACTTATAGTGTATATTAGTATGAAACTAAGTTGAGCAGAACCCATTAATGTCACAGTGATTGGTTACCAATGGAAATAAATAATTCATGATGAAGGGAATTAGTCTAATTAGCAGGCAGTTTGAGTCCTTTGATAAAACCCAGCTCTAATTCCGTGAAGGGCAGGAAGTGCTGTCATCAGTCAGCCCTGAAAAGATTAGCATCTATTATGAATGAGGTTAGACACCCTCGTGAAGTCATGTGTGTCCTGGAGACAAACTTAATATGTTCCAGAATGGGACACAGTTTGTCTCACCAACACATCATGATTCCTACTGGGCTATTGTATGTAATAACAAGCAAAGATCAGTGCTCCTTCCTATCATTCTCCCCTTGTCCATCATCCTGACAACTGTGCAAATACATTTTCCATGCAAAGCAGGGAATGTGCCCTGAATACTTGTAAAATTGCACAAGATGTCAAAGAAAATGTGGTACCTTTCCTCAGCAGCCTAAAACCAAATGAACCAAAATGCCAGTGAGGAAACAGAGGGTTCAAAAATACAGCTGGCAAATGTATGGTGCGAAGTGGGAAATATATCAGGTAAGAGTATGTTGGTGCCGTTTGAATATTGTGTTGTGCACAGATTACAATATCCTAGATGCACAGATTGGAGCTATAGCTTTAGCTACATACGGTAGCAAGGTTTTAAAATAGCTGCTGATGCTATAGGCTAATAAAAATGAATGGATGGATGTATAGAGGTAACATCCTGGAAAATTACCTGAAATTTTAAAAGTAAGGCCCATAGAAAGAAGGTTCCGTATGTTTTCATAAGAAATGTTAACTGAACTGGTTCATTTGAGGAGACTTGCTGTGAGCTGTGCAAGCTTCACAGTTTTGTACTACGTGCTGACGCAACATCAGCTGTGTTTCCATTTTTGCTTATGAGCCTTTTGAAATTATATGTTTCCGTTTTGCAATTTGATGCAATAATGAAGAAACTCCACATTTGTACGTTATTGTATTGCCTGTTTTTATTGTAGGGAATTAATTGCTCCTTTTATTTATGTTATTAAGGGGGGAGAAAACAATTTTGCAGTATTTTATCATTTGCTGTAATAATTATCATACTAGTAATACAACGGAGGGCTGAGAAATGGAATATATTATGTTCAGATATCTGAACAGCACTTAATATGCCGACATCTTGGCTGTGGAATGCTGGTGTTGGAAAGTACTTTGAAAAAGGTAACAGTAAGTTTCTGATAATATCTCTGATGAGCTTAAGTTGTTTTATAATATGAAAGTGAAGAGGAAAAGATCGTGTAGCACAATAAATGATTTTCTTGGAAATAGAACAATATAGTAACTCAACTGTCCAAATGCTAAACAGCAGTGGAGCATGGATATTGCCGAGTGTGCCAGAGTCAAGTGTCACACAAACTTCAGGTAGGTTTCTACTTGAGATTTTAGTCTGCCTTGATTTGTTCACTTGTGTCTTGAATTTGCTGGTTAGTGAAAGTCAGGGCAAAATTCAGCTGACTGAGTAGTTCTTTGGTTTGATTCTATCATCTCTCAGAAATGACCTACTGCATGGGGATGCCCTGGGTTAGTGAATGGGTTCAGTCCTGTCCAGTATTAGACCCATTCAGGCAGCTGGTCACTTGCCATCTGAAGTCACATAAGACAATGAGAGGAAGACGGTAAGAATTTCCTGCTATTTTCTGCCTTGTCTAAGGAATAATGAAATCCCTCAGTTACTTTCTTGTTTAACTTGAAGCACCATGTACTCCTCAGAAACTTTGTTTTGTTGGTTTTTTTTTTCCAGATTATTCCCTTCAGGATATACCAGGTGTAGCAGAGGGACAAGGAAGGGGGCCTGCAGCTTCTGGCACAAAGGTCAGTCATGCCAAACCTTGCTCAGTGATTCTGTGCAGTTTCCACCAGGCATCACTCAGCCTGGGCAATGGGCTGAGTCCTCAAAGACAGACCTGGACATTTAGGTGCATAAACCACAAGTAGTTACACTGCTAAGCTCTTCTACTGAACAGTCACGTTGCAAAGCGCAACTACCGTCTATATTCGTATTCTCCTCATGTTCCCTGGAACAGTGTGTTTAAACAGTATCCGGTTCTTGTTTTTGTTTTTATTTTGTTATCAGTACCATGAAGTTGACACTGGGAAATGGCTAAGAGCGTAACATTTCTAATCATTCCAGGTAACCTTCTAGTGACGAAATTCAAGTTCTTATCTACTGGGACACACGGAGTTACTGTGTCAATAAGGAAACCTGGGAAGGCCTCAGTAATTCTCATGTCATGTGACAAAAAGGTACTTATCTGAGGTAGCTGTCCTGCTGCTAAGGAGTCTCCTCTACTCCTGCTGAAAAGGTGAAGTCTGTTGGACTCTGATATTCTAAAAGCCAACAATCCTTTCACTGAGGCACACTCTATCTGCAGCCCTATCACCTGTCCCCTTAGTGAGGTGTCCTTATGGGATATCATCCATTAATCAATTCCTCTCTTTTCTGGGATTTTGTGTTTACACGTGTCATGCCATGACTCCATTGTCCTTAATCCTCATTCACACACTCCCACAACACCAGAGCAGCAAAGGACACGTCACCTACATTCACAACTAAATCTATACCACACTGAATCACTTTGAAGGCTTGCAAAAGTGGATGCAATGGATCTATGTTAGTCCATTCTCATTAACACTTCTAATCTGCTTTTGCTGTATTCAGGGCAGCTGTTTTATTCAGAGGCTCTTGTCATGTGTATCAGAGGAGCAGTATCTTTCATGTATATGACTGTGTAAGATATGGAAGGGAAGATATGGAAGGAAAGATAGGAATTAAAATAGTGTTGTGCCATGACCTGGTTTTACCATATATTTATCTACAGCAAAATAACCAGTTTACTTCTTGTAGATATTGCAGCAGGAGGGAAAGGGGCTGGAAGAAGTTTACAGGAATTTTGTTTGGAAAGACATTCAGATCTAAGGGTGTTGCTGAATGCATTTAGATAGCAGTATGACAGGTAGGAGAATATCAGCATGGAGATGCTGATACTCATACTTCGTACTACAGAATGTAGAGGGATGTGAAGGCAGCGGTATGTCCTGGGAAGTGCTATCCTGAACCCTGTGAAGATGAAGCTGCAACTTGAGGTAGTCACAGCAATAGTGAGGCAGCTGTATTATTGCAGCAAGATTGAGGAATAGTGCTTTTGACATTTTTGCTGCCTTACTTCTGACTAGTTGTCCATCATGTCATGCCCTGCCTCTCATCACTAAGTTTGCAGATGAAGAAGGCAGCTCGTGCTCTAACTCTGGAATCCAATCCAGAGGGAACATTTTTGGGCGTTTCCTGTGTTTTGAACAAAATGGAAACCCTGGCTAAATGGAGCGACGTTCTCTCTACTGCACCCTTTGCAACCAGATGGCCATTTTCATCTCCAACTCTGTAACAACAGTTGCAATATGACCTTCTCTTGTAATATCATCTATATGAATGCAAATCATATTTTACCAATGCACCAAAATTTTGAAGCCAAGAAACCATTTCTGAGCAGTGTACTGTAACTTCTGTTCATAATTAAACTAGAACCTCTGTCCTGGACGTGTTCACTCAGCTTTGCATTCCTTGAGTAATACACCTTCAGACCAGTGCCTTGCTTTGATGTATTACAGTGATAGACTGAAGAGTTCATGTAATACATCATCACAGTCAGCTGTTGCTGGACGCCAAGGATTGAGAGCCTGAGCCAGCTGTTTTTTCTGATGTGTTCTCGTAATACATCACCGTGGTATGGAAACCCATGATGTATTGCTTCAGAAGCCAACCACCTAGAGAAGGAGACCAGAGCTGCAGATTTTGTATAATGAGACATTCCGTATACTGGACAGGGCTGCAAACTCCTGGAACAAGATGTTGGTAATAAAGCAGCCTTCTGTACTACAGTTAGCAGTTTTGTTAAACAGGTATCCACGGGCACTGTTTTATGTAATCCGATTTCCAGTGCCTCTTTGCCATGCTCCTTTTAGGTAGATCAAACATATCCCTAGTAGCAGTGTTACCTTTTCTTCTCTTACAGTGCAATGGTTCAGAATGCAAACAACCCAGAAGGCAGAGTCATAGTGTCTCAAGAATTTCCAAGAGCTGGGATCATGCCTAAGTTGGCATAACGTTTGGAGCTACTGGGATGCTGCTCTCAGTGAACTGAGCCTGCCTGCAGCAAGGGTAGTGCTCTGCCCCTCTATCCTTTCCTAGGACACTGCAGCCCAGAGCCACAGGACACAGTGACTCAGGACTCCACGGCTGTGACTGACTTGCAAGTTGACCGAAGGGGAGGAAGGTGCCTTTGGCCACTTCTTCATGTGCTCTTTGTCCCTGCTCCCTCTGCCACACACACAGAGTCAAGCAATAACTGTTGTCCCCAATTATTAATATCAATTTAAAAGAAACATTGGATCAAACAGCAATTCAGAACATGTATTCCCACAAAACTCTTATCAACTGGTTGAGTGGGCTGTGTATGTGTAAAAATAATGATATTTCCCCTGCATTTACTTTTAGCCCCAGGTGAGGACTTCCATCAGCCACTTCACTGCATTTGCGCTTATGACTATTAATGAAGTAAGCATCATGTACCAGCAGAGTAAAACTATTATCACTGTGCAACACCCAAGAGCTTTCTGTAACTAATGAAACTCTATCAAACTCTGAGAGGAAGAGAAGAGGTTTAAAATGGAAAGACTTAAAAGTTGTGAAAATATCTTTACAGGTACTTCTTTCATATAGTTTTCTCTCTCTCTTTTTCTTCTTCTTTTTTTTTTTTTGTAAAATAGAAGTTATGGTTTGCTATTTGTAAAGCCTGAAAATATAGATAGCAACCTCCTGAAGATAAATAGGTCCTGCCCTAAAACTTTACCCTCTAGTTAAGGAAGGTTTGCTCTACAAACAAAGACTAAGTATATTTTATTAACATTAAACATACTTTTATGACTGTCCTTTATATGTTATATATCATGATATAACAAGACATTAAATACCATTTTTGTGGCATGTAGTCCTGAGTCAGAAACATACCAACCCCATATATTCAGAGCTCTATACCAGTGCAAACTCACTATGCTGATTCAAATATAATCAAAGATTTTTAAAGAGAAGCTTTGCCCTGCAGACCTCATATTGCATCAGGCAGTTTTGCAGCCTGTCCTTTACTGCCACAATAAAGCTAGCGTAAATACGATGTCATGACTTCCCCCGCAGACCTGTGGTTCAGTGCTAACATTTGATCTATTGCCTGTAATGACATTTGTTTTCTTCATTCCAGTGCTCCAAGGACCTGGGTGTTTTCAGGTCCTTTAGTCTCAAAGCCAAGGCTTAGCACTTGGGCAAGGGCAAATTCCATAGAACTCCTGTAGAACATGCTATTTTTTTCCCAGCACTTGATTGTAGGTACAAAATTCTAAGTGCAAACGATCTCAATAACCTTCAAAAATTTTCTCCATTATACATATTAAAAAAAAAAAGGAAGAATTTTCTGTGCCTGTTTTGTCAGTCCACTTTGTGTAGATTACATGATAAACTGTCAACCTTGAAGCATGAGAAAAGCATTTTACTCAGTCCTAACTGTTTCTCTTTTATTATTCTTATGTTTTCAAAATAAATTTGCCTTTAGACATTCTGGTTAAGGAGTGTATACATAGGTCAGAAGATCACATATCAGGCATTTTACTTGCAAGGGACAGCAGACGAGCATCACTGCTCTGTGATAGCATTGTATCACAGATAAATAATGATCATTAGTATATCCTTGCATGAAATTTCATGAAAATTGTTCTTCTAAACATGCAGTCAGCTTTTTTAAGACCTGAGAAGTATTGCTTAGAAAAAGCAATTAATTGACTGACAATTTTTTTTTTGTGAAATTTACCTAATCTGCTACTACTGGACACTGAGCTGGCATTTTTTTTTAATTTTTGACACACAATAAGCATCTCATCTCTACTGTGTGTGGAAAATCACAACATTTATATTTAGCTCCCTTTATAAACTTGAACAATAAGACAAGTTTTTGATACAAATAATTAACATTATTACAATAATCATTATTTTCATGATAATAACACCACATCATTTCAGTTGACAATACATTAGCTCCATAGGGAGATTATCTGCAAGAAGCAATGGATTTAGCTTCATAACAAAACCGATTACTGTTCGCTACGGATATAATATTTCCATTCATACTCAAGGAAATCTCCCAATGATTTTATTGTTTTTGACTGAATTTTAGTGAGATTTTTCTCTACATGTACAAAACAGTATTGCGTCCTAAATTTGTATATGACATCATTATTGTTGTTATTCTGCTATTGTTTAAACAGGCATAAAAAATATATCACCTCCTAGTGTATAGGAGTAGAAGGTCCAGCTTTTAAAACATCTCTTTAAAATAACAAATGGCAAAACAAATGCAGGGGAAAGACTACTAGAATCTATTGGAATTCCTCAGGGAGATTTATAAATGAGAGCAACAAATCTTTATGAAACCTGTTTCTTGTAGCAAGAAGTGATGGCTCCATGTCCTGGCATGATCTTCCATCACTGAAC